GAGCTGGTCGTAACCCGAAAAGTTTGTTAACAGAGGCGTTCGTAACCCGAGGTACCACTGTATTGAAATAGTGAATAATGTGACTGTAGGATTTTGTCAGAATAAATATGTTGCTGCACATTTAAGATCTACGCTATAGACCCTTACTCTGCCAACCACATTCTCAAATCTGTTCAAATGACATATTGAGAACAGCAGCAACCTCATTCGGGTTTCATTCACCTGGACAATTCTCTAAGGTGACACATGGCATCAGGTGTCAATAATACTTTATAGCACTCACATTGACTGAACTGCATTGATGCCCCACAATAGTTAGTAAGAGGGAGGTTTTTTTTTTAAGTTATTAACTGGAAAGCAGTGGGGAAACCAGTATTTCACTACCTATACGCACACAAATGTAAAAGTTGCTGTAGTGCAACAAAATGTCTTCAAAAGAACCTTGTATTCACTTATAAATTTAGCACTCTCACACTGGGGTCACTAGAGTTGGAGAATGGCTAGTTAACACTGCCTTTAGATGTTGAAGTACACCTGACCTTTTTGAAACTGAAGTTCTTTAGATGCATTGGGCCAAACTTCCATCATCTAGAGTTCATGGGAATCTTGCTTTGCCAATTCAAGTTTTATTGGATGTAGGTTACCCACTTTCTAAGTGGATCTTCTACTTGTCTGAAGAGCTCTTTTCATATTTCTCAGCTTCCTGGTTTCAGTCTGCACAAATATTTTTCCACCTTACATACATTCTTCTGTCTGAATTCATCTGTCTAAATAATCAGCCAGCTGAGGATAACATTCAGTGAACTTCATGAAATCCACAAAAGCTTATGTCTTCCCAAAAGAGTTTATTCTATATCAGCCAACTGACTCAGATTTTTTGTAGACATGAGAAAAGTACTTACTTGTCCTGTTAGGGTTAATGTGCTGCTTCAGAAGGTCAGCGGACCCCAGGCTGATCACAAGACGTTGTCCAAACCAGAAGGAGACAATTGGGCCATATTTCTCATGGAGGTTGACCTGAAACTCATGCAAGCTGCCACTAGTTATGATGTCTGGGAGATTCCCATCTCTGGAATGAAAGAAGGATGAGATTAAGGCAAATGGATTGGAATCTCCAAAGAAGAAGTGAAGAGCTCAACATAGGATCACAACATTGGGCTGAGCCATAGTTTGTTCAACTCCTTCATTGGCTAAATCACAGTAAGCTGGGTACAAACAAGTAAAGCCACAAATCACAGTTTATAGACCAAAACTGCTGGGTTTAAAGCATGGTTTATGGATTCCCTTGTGGCAAAGTTTCAACCAGACCAGAGTGTTTCGTTAGAAGGATTCACTTCCCAACTAGGCATTACTATTTTTGCTAAGATTGACATCCCCTTTAAAGAATATTTTTTACCCTGCAGACTGAGCAACAGAGCTCTGATTTGAAACCAGCCTGCCTCAAACGGTCTTAGAAATTTCTGCAGAGGTTGCTCCAGCCTGGAGCTTCATTGTTTGAGAATCAGGGAACAGAAGTGAGGAAAGAAAACTGGAATCAAGCAGGAAAAATGAGGGAGGAGCCAAGAGGACTGTCTTAAGAGAAAAAGGGGGAGCTATTGGTGAGATCAGAAGGGAAAAAAGCACACGGACACTCATGTACATAGGAAACAGGGAAGGTGCTTCCAATGATATCTTAACTGTGTCCTCCCCCAGATAAAATGTGGCAGTCCTGAACATTGTCTCAACATTCCAAGTGCGCCCACGGATCCAGAAAGATCAAGGGCACTCCATGCGTACAAAAGGAAATGGAACAGAAAGGCAGAACTGATGTTACAGAAGAAAGAAGCAGCTTACTTTTCATCAGTTGGGGTGATCCCTGGGATTCCTGAAGCTTGTCGGGAAGACTAGGAAAGAAACCAGTGAGATTATTAATCCACTGTTAACATAATCAAGTCAACGTTAAAAGAAATATATTACTGAACCAACTGTTTCCTTAAATCTAGATATTTATAATTTTACTGCATGCAGGACTACAAGTCCTCATAACTTCTACAGGACTAACATGTATGCAACTGTAGTTTATTTTAATCTTAAATACATGTAGCTGAATACAAACCCAGCTATTTCTGAATAAATTTATTCAGGACTGTTGATTTATAAATTGCCTGTGCTGCTGAACCATCCTGGAGTTCAAGAGAACATTTTAAGGCAGTTTCCCATCTAAATCTGGACTACAGAGTCAGTTTAACAGAACATATTTAAAGATTGTATTGGATAGCTGGGTTTAACTCTTCTAAACTTTTAGATATTAATATACAGGGCAACTAATATCAAGCACTTCTTTTCCTCCTCCTCCTATTTTCTTTTGTGCTGAATCTTCCGGACCATAAATTTTACATTTTTATTCATTTGTCTTGTTAATTCATGTTGGGTAGCTTTTTTAGAAGGCCAGGGTAGAAACTTTTAAAATAAATAATTGCATTAGAAGAATCTCGCTACTGTGCTAATTTCCAGGATATGGAGCAGTTCACGCTGTATGTGAAAGTGCAGAGTACCCTCACGATACCGGGCTTTTGATAAAGGCCCACCCCCAATGTTTCAGAGAAAAACATTTCCCATCCTTGCTGGGGACTGAGCCTCCCACCTCTGGCGTTGCAAACGCTCGGCTTCCGTCCCTGAGCCAAAGCCCCTCCCACCACCGGATGCTTTCTGCCCTCCCTGGGGCAGATCACGGCTCCATTTAAGCCCGCCTTACTTGTTCTGCTCTTTGGATTGGTGTTCTGGCAAGTTAAAAGTAAAGACTTCCTGGAACTCAGCTTGACTCCTGGTGATTTCATGGAAACATTTTGGCAACAGTATGGAAGTTGTTTACTGTTGCCTTCTTCCAGAATACTACTTTTACTTCCAAGTCTTGTCCACAGCTTTCCTGGTGGTCTCCCATCCAAATATTAACTCCTTCATATCCTGTCCATCTTTCTTCAAGGTAGGCTAAAGTTGGCTGGGTGCTGCCACTTTGCTGTCCACAGTTAACACAGAATTCCTATTCTGTGATCTGCCTTACCTCCGCAATTGAGGTGGCTAGTAAAGTGATTGAATAAATAAACAAATTGACCAAGGGCATCTCTGCTTTAGCTGATTAAGTTTCCATTTGTTTGTCTGCACCCATTGCAGTTTTCTCAGTTTTTGATGAGTAGAAGGGATCAAGGTGAGTGTTGTCTGCCAAAACGTCGGGCATCCTCTTCCGGTGGTTTAACAAATATATTAAATAGCAGGGAGGGGGAGGGGGCAGAATGGGACACGCTATCACGGGGAAGGTCCCACTGGAAGCAAAGTGGGTCGCTTCTGAAAAGCCCAGTTTAGGCTGGAACTTCTGGGGGGGGGGGGGGGAATCAGAAAATGGTTTCTGTCCCATCTCAGCCGTCAGAGCAAAACTGCAGGGAACAAAGGAGGAGCTTTATTAAACCGCTGCCTCAAAACCGGTGGGGGCAGGCGACTTCTTCGTCACAAGAAACTCAACGGAACTACTACTCCAGACCGTCCCGGGCACGAACAAAATGCTGCGGATCGACAGTCCGGGCTCACTTGTCTGGGAGTAAGCCCCAGACTCTTACTTCCGAGTAAAGCTGCACAGGACTGCACCCGACAAGTGCGTGGCGGCGAAGGTCCTTCGAAGGGGACGCG